CCTTATATAATTTTTCTATCTGCTTTCGATAGATCATTTTACCGATCTGCGGCGGTTTTTTCGCGGCGGTTTTCACGACCGTTTCTCGCGGCGGTTTTCGCGGTGGTTTCCGCGCCGCCCGCGCATTTCGCAGCGTGATTTTTTAGTCACAGCTGCAAACTCTAATATTCTGCAAACGTATGCATTCGACAATTAGTTGCGCAAGAAAAAGAATGTGACACATGATATTCTTATTACTAATGAGCACGTACACTGTGCCCCCGCGACAAGATTTTGCGAGCGTTTGCGTGTTATACATCACTCGCTACGCTCAAGCCACATGCGCAACCCGCTCGCACCCCAAGATCAGTAATGATGATGATAATCATGATCTCACGTGAGAGAGAGAGAGAGAGAGAGAGAGAGAGAGAGAGAGAGAGACTGCGAAGTTTACGTTTTTGCAGATTTAGAGAAATGTAATTTTTACTTCTAATTTATTATATAATAACTAGGACATCACAAATTGAAGAGAATCGAGGAAAATTTTCAAGAGTATATAATTTATTTTACCAAAAATACACAAAGTAAGAATATAAAATCGTAACGTACGAGAGCGAAAAGGAAATCGGACGAGGAACGGAGAGAGGAAGAGAGATAGGTGCAAAAAAGATGCGGAAGAAAGAATATATAATATGCGGAATATATAATATAACAATAATGCGGAATATATAATATAACAATATATAGGTATGTATAAGAGATAAAACAGTATTCTTTAATAACGTATTTCTACGATTGTCTCTCTTTTGTTAAGAATGGCCTGCCGATTGATGAGGCATTCTTCGATGCACTCACGACAATTGACAGATTCTCCAACATTTATAACAATTTGATCTTTACATCGAACACAAAACAAAGAAATCTCGGGTGTGTATGTGTTTCTGTGGTGTATGGTGTGTTTACTTGAAATTATTTGATAATTATATGGTTGCTCTATATTAAAGCATCTTTCGCACATTTTTATTCTGCGGTAACGTCCGCTCTGTATATAGACATTTTGTAATGTGGCATTTTTCAAACAAAAGCATCCAATTAGTGTTAAATAAGTTC